ATCCCATTACCTCAAGGAAATACTTCGAGAGGTAAAGCCTCTTTACGTCATCTCCAATACTTCACCGGAGCAATACAGGCAGGAAGGCACGGAGTTGAAACATTACAGTGCAATGCCTGAGTGTATCGAAGAGACGGACATTCAGCCCAAGTCCTTTGTCATTATAGATGATATACGTGTCATGGGACTGAAGCATGGCAGTCAGAGGGAATGTCTTTACAAGTTTTTCACCATGTATAGCCATCATTATGAACTTAATGTGTTCTTTCTCTCTCAAAGCTTTGATAACATCAAAGATATGAAGATAAATACCAACTTCCTCTATCTTTTTCGCTTTACAGATAAATCCAACATCAAACGCTATCTTCATACTTTATTTGGCGGATCCTGTTTGAAAGCTAATCTTGTCTATAAACTCTATGACAAACTATTAGAAGCTTGTTGGAGACCCTTTCTAGTGGTCGATGCATCACGCAATGAGTTTTATACTCACTGTGATTCTATAACATCGAAGGTTGTGTTTGAATAAAATATTTTCTGCCTATAGTAAGTATGGATGGTGTCAGTGTTCGCATTATACCCACCCACAGTGAGTGGGATGCGGTTACCGTCACTAAGATTGGAGACACCTGGGAGGTCACATTCCCTAGAGTAAAACTAATTGTCCAAATCGAATCCGAAGTTGATAGTTTTGAGTGGATTGCTGGCTGTGAAGCACGGGGGGTAGGAGTGGATGAGATTGATTAAGCCCGTTGTACAGAAATGGAGCGAATACGGGTGCACTTCCAACCTATCTGCATCGAGTGCAACGGCCGTACTCACCCAATACCACCAGAGAAGAGAGACGAGACCATGAAGATGATATTACAAAACCCCCAGGATATCCTGAGTAAAGGTGACACCGTGTGGGAGGTTCAAGGTACTCCTCCAGTACGAGGTGGAGATTATAAGAAATTTTCCGGGCAAGTGAGAGAAGCACTGGCCTATATCCCCGAAGAAGATCGCCCATTTCCTATCTCCCAAGTGAAATCAAACCCTCGAGTAAAGGCTATGTATGATAGAACATTTAAGAACAATCCGGATCTGATAAACCCATCCTCGGTTACTAATGCTGTTGCATCGAATCTCCTCGATTATGATCAGAGTTCTGGAATGGCAAGAGGGTCCATAGCAGAGGCTAGAATGAGGCGAAACATCTCTGCCGCTAGTATCCCACTGCAAACCGCCATGGAGCCAAAGTTTGATAGAATAGTGATAAATACATTTGGTAAACTCCTAGTAGACCATAAGATACCGGAAGCCTTTCTGCAAAGCAGCCACTTCAGTGCAAGGCCGCAACTACACCAAGTCTATCAGGAGGATGAGCAGGGGCTCAGAGGTAGAATGGAAAACACTAGAGATACCCTCGAATTTCAAATCCTCAAAGACTATGCTACTCTGGTCAACCAAATCAATCAGTTTCACCTGTCGCGTTATCCATTCCAGCAGATTGCAGCAGCAGCCAACCTTAATCACATATGATCGATTCATGATCGATCCGTAAAACCTTCGTAACTCCATCATTTCTTGTCCGAATTCAACAATCGAAGGGTCTATTTGGTAGCGGAAACTCCAAGCTTTCCAATGCAACAATCGCCGAAGAGCTACGATGTACGAATCCAGAGATATCGCGCGCCGTATTCTTGTCTCGGCAAATTCAAATTTTTTATCGATCTCTTCGCCATTTTAGGGGAAAATCCCTTTGCGTGTGCTCTTTGCCCAACTCAGCACATGATAGTGACGTAGTTGGCTGAAGTTTGAATCGCCTCGAAAAGATTTGAGCGTTCTGCGATAGAGGAGAGTGGAATGGCGTTGATGGGGAAATTTGCTCGCATATTGGGCTTGGAGACGACTTTGCTGTGTTCCTGTGTCTGATTTGTGGAAGCTAGTTGATGGAGCCTGGTATCCTGGCGTTGCTCTCGCCAGGAGCTTTCCAAAGAGCCCAAGACTGTGGAAATGCAGTGAAGGAGGCCAAAGTTATAGCCTGTTGAAGGTGAAAATTGTGCTGAAAATTCAAATTCTGCTTCATTCTGTGCTGGAAATCAGTACATAAAGGGTTAATGTGCTTCCAAACCACTCGAGGAGTAATGTGAAATTGGCTGCAATAAGAACTCAGCTTCTAGCCATACCAGGATCCGCAGACAAATATTCCGGTATAGGAGATATGATCAACGCCTACACTCGAACCAAAGAAGCAAAACTTATCAACGCAGAACAATTTATGTTAGGTCTCAAAGAGTACATGGCTGATGATGCCACCTTTATCAAAAGTGTCTTCAAGAATCGGCAAGTGGCTAGCAATACAAGGAGTCCCTATTACCGAACACTTGCTATTCTGAAAGGAAAATCCCTGGTATACTAGGTATGGATGTGGAGCTGAGCAACGTGGACATCGAGTCTGCGCTGAAACACATTCGCGGGTTCCGAGGTGTGACTAGCTATGATCTCCTGCCTGCCTTAAACCATGGCGAGTTTTGTGTGTGTAACACGGACAACATACTCCCGATATTGGACAAACCCGAAGGGGGACACCATTGGCTGACGGTGTGTAGGGAAGGCGATAATGTTCTGATATTTGACAGCTTCGGGCGTGCATTGATGCAGATGGCCGAAGACTATAAAGAACCGGAACTAAAACAATGTTTTCTTAATGTTTATTCCGGCTGCAACCTGTACACCAATACGCAAGTCATTCAAGATAGAAGCACAGCGGTCTGCGGACGTTATGCCATCTTGGTAGCGAAAGTCTTCTCAAAGACTGGTATAGACGGAGTATTGGAATTCCTCTCCTGTACGTTCTCTCACGATACCCTTCACAACGATCAAGTCATGGTTGGTGGGGATTGGCAAGATGATCTTGCCGATGAGCTACATAAACCTAAGCGAGTACATTTCCCACGCAGAAAAGTGGACGTTTACGGCAAGGACGATGTATGGAGTGCTGATCTCGTAGAAATGCAGCCCTTTAGCGAATATAACGAAGGAATTAGATATATTCTCGATGTTATAGACATATACACGAAGTATGCTTGGAGTGTGCCACTTAAGAGCAAAACCGGGGATAGTGTTGTCTCAGCCTTTAAAACCGTCACAACCAATCGGAAACCTAAGCTACTATGGGTGGACCATGGCTCGGAATTTTATAACAAAACGTTCAAGGAGTGGTTGAAGAAAAACGACATTCACATGTACAGTACAGAGAATGAAGGAAAAGCCGTCGTCGTTGAACGTTTCAACAGAACGCTAAAATCTCGTATGTGGAAGCACTTCACCGCTCGCTCGACCAACGTCTACATCGATGTGCTGCAAAACCTTGTCGACAACTACAACAATAGTAAACACCGTACAATTGGGATGACCCCCATGGAAGCCTCCCTAGGGAAACCGATTGAGCAACTGTATGAGCCCATTGCGGATGAGCCTGCCTTTCAAGTCGGAGATAAAGTTCGCATTACAGTGGAAAAAAGAATGTTTGCGAAGGGATACACACCCAACTGGACCGAAGAGGTATTTGTGATTCGTAAGGTTCTCCCCACTTATCCGGTCACCTACAAAGTGAAAGACCTTGCCGATGAACCCATCACAGGAAGCTTCTACAAACAGCAGCTCATGAAGACTGCGCAAGCTACATTTCGAATCGATAAGGTGTTGAAAAGACGTAAGGGTAGTTTGCTGGTCAAGTGGAAGGGATACCCCGAAAAGTTCAACCAATGGGTATCGCAGAAAGAAATGAGGTATATTTCCAAGGATAGTAGTAAAGGGAAACGATGATGCAGTGCACAATGCAGACTACTGCAAGAAATCTGCTTTCTGCTGTTATTGCTGATCGACTGGCAGAACAAGGTCATGTAGACCTACCACAATGTGTATCGTCGCCGGAGTCGAAACCATCTCGGCTTTCTAGAGTTTTGGTACGAGTGTGTCGCTTAGTCAGGTGCAGTGGATCGAGATTTCAGGTGCTGATGCAGCAACTGTGTTTCAACTCCAGAACGGGTCGTACGCAATTTCTTACATTTGCAAAAGAACTATTTAAAAACGGTATCAGCCATGTTAAAATTGTGGCCCTGTACTTATTCAGCAGCGAGTTAGCGAACATCTGTATGGAGAATTCAACGGAACTGGGATTGCACTATGTACATCATGTCATGACCTGGCACTTAGATTACATGACCACCAATGTTTCGCCCTGGTTGGCGGAAAAAGGAGGTTGGCAAAGTTTTGAAAACACCCTTACACACGACTTCAACTGGTCAAATCGCTCAGTATGGACTCATCCCCGTTCAGCCTTTTTGGCCATAATTTTTCTCATACTAATGGTTGAATGGATGTGAGAAAAAATTCCCGGTACAGTAAGATCAAGATGGACTCCTCAAGCAATGCCACCCCATCAGCCGAGCCATCAACTGCGAGCAACAGCGAAGCCTATGAGAAAGTGAAGGGGCGTTTGAATAAAGTTAAACTTACTCAACAACTACTCCTGCTTGCACCAGTGCTGTTCGGAGCCAGCAATGTGGTGGCAGAGAAATCCACTCAAACCTCACCAGCCGAAAGAACAAGCATCATAACTACATTCATACTGGCCATCATATGGACTTTAATCTCATTTTTATGTCATCATTGTGAGCATAAATTTACGCAAGCATATAAGCATTTTCTGAAGCTGGGGAAATATATGCCCGCAGATACTGAACTTGATCAATTTGATGATATATGGACTATGCTGCGCACACACTGCAAACCAAAGTATGTAGGGTAATATTTTATGATGCGATGAAGATTATTATACCGCACAATGCACTATATCCTGCAATATAATTGAGGCACAAGCCTGAAATATTTAACAAAAATGTAGAGTGTTGGAGCCAGCTCCACCCGTCAAGAAAGGAGGAATATTAGACAGAAGAATGGCGGGGAGTTTTGCATGAAAATGATGAAACATGTTCAATGTGGGGTCCTGCCCATTAAATGTCCTTGTGACCATATGCAAGTGTGGCCATGCCATCATCCAGTATATACCGCTTGCAGTCGAATGGAGACAATGCCACCTTGGTGGTTACCTCCTCATACACTGTGTGGCAATGTGATCGGAGACCCGTCATAGGCCTGGCAGACACACGATGACTGAGCAGTGCATCTACATAGTCCTTGTGGGTGATGGTATTTGCCAGGACTGCCTTCCGAACACCCTTGGCTCGTTTGGCCGATTCCTGCCCGATGTAGGAGTACATCTTCGATCTTAGACCTACAAACTCCACCATGGATTTCCCACCAAGCTCATCTTTGAATTTGCCAACCACTTTCTTATTGGCAGAAGTGTACTGAGGATGGTCAGTGGGAAAGTTGCTGGTGTCATACAGAGACAGATCCATCTCTGCATAAACATCACCGGTGGTTATGTGCACAATAACAGAGTCGGTGTCGGTGTACAACAGCCGGATTCTGCTACCATACTGCTCCTTCAGCACATCGTAGTAGAAGGAGTACATGTGTACCTTTGACAGGTCTAGTATCGACATACCCACATAGACCGGCTTGTTGAGCTTGATCTCAGTGTGCTGCTTTTCTATCCCGACAAGCCCGTTCGGGAAAATGTCATGCCGCACATATGTAGGCTTGCTCACTGCCCTCAGTACCTGCTCCTCACTTTCTTCTCGCAAGAGATCGATGCGTGTTCGGTTACGAACGTTCTCCATCGTCTTGCCAAAGACTGAGTTGTTCATCAGCTGCAGCATACAAACAGGCAAACATGACACATGAGAATCATATCATGCCATTCCTTCACATCAGCATATTTTCAATTAGCATACTCCACGTCACACTTGCACCATACATGCAACAACAAAAAACAACAACAACAACATACGAGACTGCACACAACGGTTGCATTTACCTTGTAAAAGCTCTTCTCAAAGTCGGTTGTAGCCCTCGTGCAAAGTGCAGTGTTCAGATTGATGTAGGGAGCCATCCAGGCACTCTGCTGAAATCCCAACACCTTGTGAACAGCGGTCACCACCATGCCCAGACGCGAATACAGCTGCAGTGTACGGTAGTGTAACACATACTTGGACTTGGGTAGGAGACTGGGTGTCAACTTGACTCCATCTACGGCTGACACTTTGAGCTCCTCCACAAGTGCTTGTTGGTATGGTGATAGCTTATCTGAGAATGTTCTCATCACTTCCGGTGCGAGTGGATAATCATTGAAGTAGTAGTGCAGCGAAGAGGGTACCTCAAGATCACACTCCACAATGAACCCAGTGCTCGAATCTACAGGGTGTGCCAGTATCTCGGACAGGTTCTTGTCACACCAGGCAAACTCAGATGTCGGCATACTCTGGCACATAGCCCAGCCATACAGGTTGTTGGCATCAAGGTATAGCAGGTATGATGTGGGCTCGGCAGGATTGTACTGATCCATCGTTGGGTTGTTGGCCTTGCCGTACCGCTGCGACGCCATTGAGATGCCCCCACGTAGACCGGCTTCGACAAACAGATGCATGTCTACATCCGTGAGCAGCTGCAGTTCAATCTGGGTGAACCGTAGTAGAGCATCCCATGCATATCCTACATAACACCATACAACACACCAGAACACAAACACGAAAGTCAATACACCATGCAAAAAGTATAAAAATACACCGACAAGAAAGCACAAGAATACTAACAGAGAACACCATCTAAAGGAGAGAATGCATTGGACAACAACAAAGACTGATGAACATACCTGGGAGAGTAAGGTAATGGGCTGGATCCAACCCATACGTCTTGTATGCCGTCTTGCGGAAATGCTCAAAGACATCTGCTAGAAGATAGACATCTGTTTGCAAATAGAGGTCATGATATGCCTCCATTGTACTGCACTCAAATGTCTGCAAAAAAACAAAAAACAAAAAACACATCAACGCACACACACAAACGCACACATCCATACACACAAGCATCCACACATCCACAGATGGAGAGCAATGAGTACAAAAAAAAATGAGTAGAGCACATCACAACAGCATTCAAAAGTCATACTTGGTCCGTTTCATCGCAATTGTCGCTTATCTCCCACGCACCTTTTGACAGGTAAAACCCAGTCCTATCTCGGTATCTAACTCACATTCGTTTGGGAGGTTGTGATGGCAAGATCAGAGGAGCCAGAAAGAAAAAAACCATCGCGACTAGCGCCAGTGGCATCGCGATTCATACAATTTTGATGGAAAAGTGGGAAACTTTTCGCTGCAGTGAATGCACTGCAGTGAATGCACACATTCACTGCAGCGAAAAGCCAAGCGCAGCTCAAAGACCGGAACTGTAGCAGGGGAAATCAACATCCTGACCTGGAGAGCGTGACAGTCACGGCCAGGCCAGCCAGCTCAGTTGTTTGAACTGCAATGTTTGAACTGCAATGACCTGGTATTCTTTGCAAGCCTGCAAACTGATGGCGAGATAGTGGCAAAGAAGACATTGTCCGACCTGGCAGCGGCAGTACAAGAGTCGTGGTCAGCGTATCCAGCAGAGCGTATGACAGCTGTCTGGAGAGGGATGTGTGCCTGATTCAAAAACATTGTTGAACACACAGTACTGTGGTGACAGACGGGTCACGCTGCCCACGTTCCTCCAAGTGCCAAAGTGACAACCGGGACTGTTCCTTTCCCGTCGCTGCTATACGCCAAGTGGAGAAAGCAAGAGATACGCGGCATCAGCTCGAGTGATACAGAGCCAGAGTCGGATAAACTAAAGCCTGAGTGCAAGAAGGCGCTCCGTCGCTGTTTTCTTTTGTACATTTTTTGTAACCTTGCTTCCTTTATTCGACTTGCTTCATCAGATTCCATCGCTGAATTTATTTCTTGTGGCGGACAGGAATCTTGTATCATGCTTCTTCACTATGCGTATTGGAAATTTCACAGAGCGGTAAAAAAAACTCCTGTTCTTAGTTGCGATAGATAAGCGACAATTGCGATGAAACGGACCAAGTAAGTAGAGCACAATAATGCAAAAAGCATGGCATCAGGGAAATTCTGAGGGGCAAGGCACAAGCTGCTTACCTGCCATACGTTCTGAGCATGGGCATAGTCGGCATCACTGATACCTTCTCCAGTCAAACTAGACTCAAATGCTGATTTAGGCGGCAGCTGTGTCTCATCAAACCGAGCAAAGGAGTCCATGTACTCGTAGGGGTAGACACCCTTACGCAGGAGAAGGTCATGATGGGCCAATGTACGAGTAAGCTTGAAGGCGTCTTCCAGAGTTTTGCTCACCAACGAGTCCAGAGAGGAGTTCAAGAAGGCCATGGAGTCGATGAAGCGGTACTGGCGCCACTTGAATGAAATATATTTCTCCATGTTGTTGGCGATGACACTGATCTCACCAACCTTCTTAATCCGCTTACGCTGGTTAGAGTCCTCGTACTCCACCTCTTCAACCTCGGTCATACCAATGTGGGCGATGAGGTGGTGAGCATCGTACCCTTTCAGGTTGTGAAACACAACCGGAATGATCTGGCGATCTGGGTAGATACTCAGCTGAATATTACACTGGTAGTGTGCAGCACCACGGTAGTTGCCTGTGCAGATATTCAGAAAGAGGGGAAAACACAAACATAGTAAACATCTACAGTGAGGTGATACCACAGACAATACAATTCAATACACCGTGATAAAACACAGATGCAAACAGCTACAAAGACATGAAAATGCACTATACACATCATGCGCATATCTACACACAACTGCAAAACAACAAAAATAAACAAAAAATTATAATACTTACCAGTGAGATGATCATGATCACGAACACGATCTTCTCCAAGTACTTCATCACATATCCAGCAGTTGACTGCGTTCTGAAACTCAAGCTCCAGTTCTGCCGTCATGCGAATTGGCCTGATATCAGCCAAATCCTCCTGGATACTGCCTTCCAACTCTTTGAGACTGTCGAAAAAGTTGTGAATGGCATTCTCACTGCAGTCGTCAAACTCGCCACGGACTTCACCGTTGGATCGGATGGCAGCATATCTACAAGAGCATAAAAGAAGAGGGAAAGTAAGAATAAGTGATTTTTTGAAAAAATGGAATCACACAAAATGCACATACTACAATACGAACACAATCAGGGGAGAACAAGACAAGAAGAAATAACAGGAAGCACTGTGCAGGCATGAGTACAGCAAAAATTAGTCAAAAACAACACCAACAACAAAACATACCTGATGCTGCATGGTACATGACGGGCTGTGCGTACAGTGCTGCTGCCATGCTGTTCCTCCATCGGCTCAATGATGGCCTCCGTATCAGCGTAAATGATATATGGAGCCACCATCCTGTGCTTCAAATTTGTATATTTGAGGATGCTGTCCTTTGCTGTGGGCATGACTACTGGCACAGGCTTCATCACCTGACATCTCTCGCTGTGATGCTGCAGGGAGTCTGCTGTTTTGTGTGCGGAGAGGCATCGGAAGCAATAGTGTGTTGCCCGCTTGTTCTTATTCTCACATGCACGACTGAAGTTTTTTATCCATGTGAAGTGGTTGTCATGTAGAAGCAGGTTGATTGGAGTCTCCTGTCGCTCGCTGAGATACAGTGGGTACAGATTCCCCTCGTAGCCAAACACATTGATTGCAAGACCATTCTGTAACTCCACTTTGGGTACATCACTGAGCGTTGCAGGGAACATCACACCATCGAACCGCAGCTCATCAACGTACTGGGTGTACCTGGATACACGCTGTGGGTTGTTGTCGATGGGATGCATCGCTGACAATAACGCCCACATCAAACACCTGTCATCGTTGTTCTTTACGTTAATGATGGCCTTCTTTTTTTCTAATTTGGGCGGGATATCAGCTGCACCACCTACAGAACACCACAAAAATACAACGAAGGTTTTTCTCAGAGTTACACCACATTACAACTACACCCTCTCGACAATCACGAAAGACTGTACATCTGGTACAAAACATACATCTTCAACTTTCCACAAGAAATTCGACAGGCTTCGAACAAACACTGCCGGATGAACAGAAACTCACCTCGAAGAGGAGTGTACTTTGCTGTCGACACATCCAGCTGTCTCACTCGAGAAACGGTCCAGTCAGATCCGTTCTGCACCCACTTATCAATAAGACCAGTGATCCTCGCCACCATCGTCTTGACTGCACTATCAATATCCCCTTCGCTGAGGATCCGAGCCGGTCTACTTCTAAAAAACGGGAAGGCAGACGTACTACCCGTGGCCGACTCTCGTGTCATCTCCACCCTCAAAACTAAAACCACCTTGAAAGGGTGAGACTGAAGCTCCTCGAGCAGAACCTGTCGGAGCTCGTCATGATGGCTGCTGAAAAAGACGAGAGGATCAGTACCTGAACCTGGCAAAGAAAACTTTTTCAAAAAACCTCGCACGGCACTCGAGGTGGGCTGTCTGGGCTGCCTGGATCTTTTTGCACTTGGCTCCGCCATCGTCACGTAACCTCCAGCACTGCCTACAACATACTGAGGAAAAAATCTCCTCGTACAGCATATATGAGGTCGGCTATCACACTAGTATAATGACACGTGTACTAGTCCACCTTGTGTTGCACTGCGTCTTTTCCGCAGGGCCACTGAAGGTCGCACGCTCCGCGTGCTTATGCGCGCATGCGCAATATGTCATTCACTGCACATCTACGATGTGCAAATCAGGGAGTAGTACGTATTTTACTACTCCCCGGTGCAATGAATGCACCGAACGTGCACAAGTGCACGGTCGCCACGGAAAAGAACATGATGACATTTATGACATGGCAGGGCCAAAGGTCAAACCCTAGGGGGTCGCCAGACCAAGCGCGCCCGATACAGTGTGCCTTATTTAACCCAAAGGTCAAAGGTCAAACCCTGGGGGAGTCCCGGGGCCAGACCAAGCACGACCGACACAGTGTGCCTTATTTGGCCCAAAAGCCAAAGGTCAAAAAGTGGGCCAGAACCCGCCCCGCACTTACTACTCACATTCCTTAAGGACGGGAGCAGAAATACCGTCAGGCCCGGTAGCCTTGGAGACGTCGAGCCTTGCCAGGAGGCGGCGGACAGCCTGTGGGCGGAAGCGGATGGTGCGAAGAGGTGGAGCCTCTGAGGGAGCAGGGTCCGGTAGGTCAGCCTCCACAAGGTCCGGACCGGCAATGCTGCATTTCTTCGAGAAGAAGCGAGCGAATGCCTCTGCTTTCTCTGAGCTCGTTGCCCACTCGCGGCCGTCAGAGTCGACAACTAGGGGAATTTCGGGCTGTGTGCGGTTGCCAGCAGCGTTCTTCAACTTCGTCCACCACTGTTTGTCTCTGAGGGACCCAGTTGAGAGGCTGCGACGGAGGCTGTCCTCCTTTGCACGTCGTGATCGGAACTGGGTGGCGATCGCTACAGTTACGGAATCGGTGAATGCCTGCTGAAGTGCTGGGTCATAAGGGTGTTTTCTCCAGTCGCGCCAGCACTTCTCCTTCTCCCTCTCGGTCTGGGTGCATTCAGGCGTCCACCATACCGGATCGGAAGGCCTCGTTTCCAGGACTTTGGATGGGACAAACTGTGCAACAGCTGCAGTAATCGAAGCGGTAACCTGCTCACAGGAAGTTTCTGGGTCCTCCGTGATGATATCACCCCATTCCACGTTGCGAAGGTGCGCCCTGAGGCGATCCCGGTTTGAGTTTGCAAAAATGACCGCTTATCAATGTCTGTTGCACTAGTAGCTTGAATTTGTATGTGCAATACCTTCTGCTGCTTGGAAAGCTTGGCCACAATAGGATTAGTATCTCTAACTGCTTTCTGTGCAGATGGTCTTATTCCAAACGACTGTTTGGCTGATGAGTGGACTGTTCACACAAACTCTCCCATATTGCATCTGCTTTCGAGCATGTCATGTAAGCGGCTTTGAATTCTGGTATGTTGTCAGCAGCAGTTCCCGAAACCTGTGAATTGTACTCGATGAAACAAGGCTGGGTTGGTTTCTTCCCAGCACGAACCGTATGAAAGGAGAGCTGGAAATCGACAATCACTGGCCGGTGATCCGAGCGCGTCACAAACACACCATATGACCTTGAATTTGTTATTGAGCAAATGCTTCTTTTCCTGATGATCACATAATCTATCATGTTCCTCACCGGTTCTCCGTTGGAACGGGTCAGTCCATCCGCGAACCAAGTAGCTCGGTGATGGAGGCGGTGTTTGAACAGGGTGTTGCACAGCACTAGTTGGTGGTCCTCGCAAACTCAAGAAGCCGCTCTCCATTGGAATTCGATACAAAGTGTTGGCATAGCTACCAACGGGGCCCTGGGTTCCGTTTTTTGAGCTGGCAATTTTTGCATTCATATCTCCCAACACCCAAACTTCATGTCGCTGCTTGGGTACGTCTTTGACAATACTACGCAATAGTGAATAGAAGTTCTCTGCCTCTGCGGGGTTTGACGTGGAACTCAGCAGAGTCGGCGCATAGCAGCATATCACTGTGATGGAACTGCTGTCATGGCGCGAGCAGAGCTTGATTCTGATTGACATGACTCGTTCCGAGTGGCACTGATACGAGGCAACATTGTTTGCAATTCTCTTATTTACCAGAATTCCGACACCAACCCGAAACGACGTACCGCCTGCGCCATACAGAGTATGGCCGTTGTCTAGAACGTCGACTCCATCACCATTCAGCCATGTCTCGGTAAGACCAAGCACGTCGAGACGATACCGTTCAAAATCCTGGATAATATTGACTTTTTTTATTAGACTTCGGAGCGAGCGAACATTGTACGTTCCTGCTCTACCCGAAGGTGCCGGTTGGCTCCGGCTCACAAAAACCGAAGCAGCTTTCCCTACTCTGTCTAACTGTATCCTCATTTCCAGTCTCTTTCACCCGCGGAACAAGAAAACCTTCGCGGAATCGAGAGCTGACGGAAGTTCAGACCGCCAGCCAGAGGAATAAGCCCGGTGTAAAACATAATTATATTGAGCGAAGTTTACTAAGCCCTGCACATTATGCCAAGTATGCAATCACACAAATTCTAGTGGCGTGTGTTGCGCATGGACAGCAATGTGATCAAGAAAAACAATACAAATGTTTGACAAGACTATCTCATTGCTCATACGTGTACATGTAAAATCGAGAAAAGAAGAATGAGACCCCAAATGAATGTGTTTGTAAAATTTTCTCGTGATATAAACCACCTCTTCTAAGGTGTATTCAAGCCAATCTGGTAACGTTATGCTAACGCTTTGTTGTTCCGCATGTATTAGGGATTTCATTTCCTAGGAACATCAGCTCGGTATTACAACTTTTGAATCACACAAGGAGCACCTCATACTCTCCAAGCAAAACAATGGACAACGGGAACTGGTAGGGTGGGAACGACATTTGGTAGGGAAGATGACTCTCTACTCAGACAAAAACGAACGGAACGATAACATTGTGAAAGCGAGAGACAAGAGAGAGAGAGAGAGAGAGAGAGAGAGAGAGAGAGAGAGAGAGAGAGAGAGAGAGAGAGAGAGAGAGAGAGAGAGAGAGAGAGAGAGAGAGAGAGAGAGAGAGAGAGAGAGAGAGAGAGAGAGAGAGAGAGAGAGAGAGAGAGAGAGAGAGAGAGAGAGAGAGAGAGAGAGAGATCAACTGAGTGAAGCAAGCCAAAGAGCCTGGGTGGCTATGGCAAAATTAATATGTGCGCGCAACTAGCTACCCAGGCCAACGGAACAAAAGGTGACAAAAGGCGACAAAAGGTGAGTACGATGTAACAAATTAGTATGGTGTACATGCACGCCAGCTTATAGGTTGTAGAACGAATGGGATGAGGTACCTAACACAACATATTCCACACACGGAGTTACCACGATACAGCTTTCACAACAGGATGATCATTGCAACTTCTGAACAGCACTGACACGTAATGTGTACATGATATATTTAAGGTGTAAATGTGCGTTGCCACTTGGTGCATTCGTGACAGGCGCTGGAAGTACTCATGATCCACCGATTCAATGAATAAAACATTTGAAAAATTGGACTAATATAAGATGATGAACGCACGTTAAAAACTGTTCACCCGTTTTCTCCAGAACATTGCACTTTTCTACATTACTTCATCATTTATTATCACCTGATTAATTGTGACAAACTTGTAACCGTGGGGGCCGATTCGCACGTGTACATGTAATTGGATTCTGCCAAGGAATGGATGCCGGCCGTCCAGAGGCGTTATGAGGAGGTTTGAGGCAATCACCGTCAAGCCTCCAGGCGGTAGGTTTGTAGAAGTGGCTTGTCCGGATATTGTGAACGTATACATCCGACTGAATCCTACTAGTACCTGTAGGACGCGCGCTGGTTCAGGGATATCCAGACTGAGTCCATCGTGACTGCAGACCAAACTCATCGTAGCGTTCTCGCGAAAGAAAGGCAATCCCCAGAACAACGGATCAGGACCGTGTCCGGGAACAGGTTGAAACTCCGTATCGTTAATATAAGGCAGAACTGTCAGCTCCGACTGTACGCCAAGGAACAAATCCAGGAGTCTCTCGCCTTCAGAATGGCTAAGTGTCGCTGGAGGTCCGTTCATTTTGATCAGGGCAACTCCAGTTCTCGTCAAGAAAAGAAAATGAGGTTGGTCCAGCACTTGACGTTAGAGAGCGACGACACATACACTATTTCACTATACCAGTTTTTCTTATCTTGGCGATCTGTTTTAAGATCTCAAAGCTTCGATGCTTTTAGCTGCTCAGGTGCTATGTGTAGCTCCAAAGTTCTCAAAATGGCGAGCATCCTAGCGACATACGTGAAGTACCTTATCACAACCCGGATGTGAAATTGCACATTTTCTGCGGCGTTCACTGCTTGCTGCGCCACATTATAACCACCTTTTCTGTTTCCCTTGGGCGTGATTGATCACGCAGCGTTGAGTCGTTGACACCAGCATACTGTGGCGAAACATCATGCATCAAACGCATGCATCCAAACGTTATTTCTAACTGTTGGTGTGTGCCCTTCACACATCGCTCACTCCCAAACTACATACCGAGTTCTAGATTCACGAGCAGTCTCGAACGAAGTCACTGTCGCCTGCCGCTCTTGCTAGAGACAAATTCCAGTTCAGATTCTAACGCTGTCCATCATCAAAGGCACATTTGTGATTCATTGCACATAATTGTGGTTGTACTCACCTGTTTCTGGCTTCTGCTACTTCGAGTAAGAATGCTTTCCATATAGCACAGCATGCACCCTCACGTAAATAAAATCGAAAATGATATGCTTATCGATTTTTTGTTAGATCTGGATAAGAAGAACTCCCGATAAGACAAACAAATTTGTTCAGTGTTTTGAAATTAGTTCTAACGAGATTTGACTATACATGCAATGCGC